TGTCGGTCTATTTGAACACAAGAGAGTCCCCTCTGGGTGGAAGTTTATGGACCCATTTGTTATAATGGCTGTTACTATACTTGATCCTCAGGGAATAAGAAAAAAACACCTGAAGTTACTTGTTGGATTGCACATGAAATCTTTATGTCAGGTTTAGTGTTACAGCTTGCTGTGAAATATAGATTGATTCTGGGATATGTAAAAATTGTTATGGTAAGAATGAAAAAAGCCACCTCTGCAATGCAGCATTAATGTTTTACTATTTTCTTCTGGTATTGTACACATTTCCTAAGTATTTTTGTGAATTTATATAGTACTTTTCTTTATTTTCTTTTGTCCAAATTTCAGAGTCAGCATATTTAATGAAATTAAATACAAATCCTGTTTGGGTTGTGCTCTGAAGCATGGGTATCCAAAAGTTAGTTCACTGCACCATGATATTATAGTAGGCCAGGGCATCTGCCACCATTTCAGAGTATGAGCTTGAAGAAAATAAGGGTCAGAGAGAAGTGAGAGTAACTATCATCAGAACTGTTGTTACATTTATCCTTCTCCTAAAACAGCAGTGGAAGTTTTGCATGCAATAAACAGCATGCTTCCTCTTTTTCACCAGTTGTAGAAGGCTCCCCTGAGTAGGTGATGAACTGTTGTACATGTGAGGACAGGTTAGAAAGTCAGGTTTGAGAGTCAAGTTTGGTCTGGCAGATAAAGGTGAGGTTCTGGCACCAGAATAGAAGCCAGGAGATTATTTAGGAATCAAGGCAGTCAAAATAAGTGAATAAAAACATGAGCAGGTACTCCTGAAGCAACATGCAGTCAGAATCCAGGGATGGTATGTAATAGGTGTGGAAGACGGGCAGAAACCCAGCCAGTAAGATGTAAGGCAATTTTGACCCAGTTAAGAAATTCTCTTTTTGTAAAAAGCAGAAAGAAAATAACAACAAATCAGAATAAGAAATCCTCTTTTTAGCTTATTTATAAGGGTACATGAAAGAGATTTTCTGGAAGGAGCCAAAGCTAAGAAGGCTATGGCTTGGGTTCTTCATTTTCTTTTTATTGAGGATTGCACCCAGGGATGCTTAACCACTGAGCCACATCCCCAGCTCTGTTTGTATTTTATTTAGAGACAAGATCTCTCTCGCTGAGTTGCTTAGGGCCTCACTGAGTTGCTTAGGGCCTCACTAAGTTGCTGAGACTGACATTGAACTCAAGATCCTCCTTCCTCAGACTCCTAAGGCGCCGGGATTGCAGGCATGCACCACCATGACCAGCTCATGGCTTGGTTTCTGAAGTTAGGGAATGAGACCTTGTCTACTGGACTGCTCATTGACATGTGGCATCATAAACAGAAATTTAGTGTATGCCTATTACATACACTGAATTGGCTCTGGATATTACAAAAACACACAATTCCTGCCCTCTCAGGGCTCCTGATTGAGTTGAGGAGGCAAAGCATAGGTCTCCAAAGGTTAACCACAGTATACAGCAGCATAAGTTGGCTGGCACATGGGTGATATTCCTTCTATAGAAGTTTGTAGGGAGGGGTGATTCACCCAGGCTAGGATGGTTCCACCAACACACTGAAAAAGATAGAGGGAGTGTTTGGGTCCACTTTTTTGCTGCTGAAACTAAAAGATCTGCCCAGAACCATTTTAGGGAAGGAAAAGTTTATTTAGGAGTGCCTGGTTTCAGAGGTCTCAATCCCCAGACAGCAGACCCTGTTCCTCAAGGCTCAAGGTGAGGAAGAGTGTGGAAGAGGGATGCAGCTGACATGATGTCAGGAAGCAGAGAGAGCTGGAGCTCACTTGCCAGATACAAATATATACTCCAAAGCCACCCCCCCATGCCCCATCCCACCCCTGTCACACACTCCCCTGCCATCCCCCCACCCCCTCACCCCCTCACCCCCTCTTCAATTACCACTCTATCCCATCAGGTGATTAATTTACTGATTGGGTTAGGGCTCCCATAACTCAATTATTTCTTCTCTGAACATTCTTGCATTGTCTCACATGTGACCTTTTGGGGGACATCTTACATCCAAACCCCCATAATTGGGAGTCAGAGATGGAGTTAACTTTGATAGGTGAATGTCTCCCACCTTTACTTAGCTGAATGATTTTTTTGAACGAGTCTTTTCTTTCTATGAGCCTGTTTCCTAGATGGTTAAAGTGATTTCTGTCTTGTTGGAGTCAGGGTTGTTGTGGATTACATGAGATGATTTATGTGAAAGCTTTTTGTAAATGGCACTGTGGATTCAAATGTAAGTTGTTGTTATTAATTTGTCATTTGCAATGGAGAGCCTGTTGTATAACAGCTTTAATTCATTTATCATATGCAAATTAGGTGGTACTCTTGCAATCAAAGGTATTTAATGAAGGTCATGATTAGAAAGAGAGGGAACAAGTCAGGAGACTCTTTTAAGTCAGGTTAGTAGATGCCTCAAATTTCACTTATAAACTAATAAATATAATTCGTATTGAGAATTAATATTTAATGTGTCTGAAGTGTTTTACAGTTTTTGATTAATAAAAAAGGAAATGTATTTGAAGAGTACGTTACTGAGCAGTGAAACACTAGGAGTCCATTTAGTAACAAAATTACATGATGTGTCTCATTCTATATTCTAAAACACACTATTTTTAGCATCTCTTTGAATCAGGGATGAATTCCAGTTATAGGGTTCAGTAATTAAAGCAGAGAAAAATAGTTTGGGCAAGGAAATCTTTTCACTTGGGTTGGATCTGTTTCAAGATCTGTTACCTTTAAAGGCGTCCCTGATAGCCTCTGGTTTGTAGTCTTTGTGGGGTCAAGAGCAACAGAAGATCAGCCAAGGACAGTGTGTCTCACTTTTAAAAATGGGGAGTTTTTTAAAAAATTAAAATTTTGGAATCTTCTAGCTGGTAAACTTGTTGTATATGTTTTCTACACAATTCTGGACAGAGGTTCAAGGACCCTCTGGTCTCACCTTGCTTTTCCTATTCTGAGCCCTGTTCATCACTTTCTGTCCACCTTGTAAAACATCCAGGTCTCTGTCTCCTCCTACTACCCTGCCTGTTCCTTTCTTTTCTGCAGTGTTCAGGCTGTCTCTGAGTATTCCAAAGAAAATGGCTTATTGATGCCAAGTGGTACTAGTCCACATTTGTATTTAATGATTGTGGATGTTCCGGAATATTGCTTAAAAGCTTTTTTTTTTTTTTTACTTGATTCTAGTCAGCAGTCTTTCCTCAAGCTGGAAACCTTATTTTATCATAAATAAGTTGTTTTTGTTTTATCTTTTTATATCTATTGCAAAGAAGCTCATTAACTGTGTAGTTGAATGGAAACAACTGTCCTGTTGACTCAAATTCTCATGCATATTATTCATATTGCCTGTGCAGCATTTAAAAGTGGTGGTCAGACAGCAAGCATGAAATCATTGCGAACAAGGCATGTCTAGCTTTCTCTGGTTGAAGTAGGCAAGGAACACACATCATGATTTATTTTATTACCTAGGCATTTGGGAAAATTTATTTATTTGATAAAAGTTTTTTTTCTTTAATATTATCTATGTACCAAGGAAGAAGGAGAATAAGAGAAAAATACTAAGAACTGTTATAGTGACAAGTTGCATTTTCAGCAGTTTGGTTTTGTTGTTGTTGTTGTAGTAATCAATAAGTGAGCAAATTTAAGACTAGAACAAAACCTGAACTTGTGAAATCATCTTGGTTCTACATTTTTCCTATGCTTATTTGTTTTGTTCTGGGCCACACTGATCAGGAAATTGCTGTGAACTCCTGTCTCTTTAAAGGCCTGGGAGGACATGGTAGTTTTCCACTGTGGCATATTGCATGATCTGGTGGGCTAAGCCCCAGGGGCAGGTGGGATAGTGTCATCATATTGCCAAGATCAACTCTTCCAGTACATTATTAGCTCATAATAATACTTCTCCCAGTCTCATCTTTGTAGTTAGGGAAACTTGGGTATAAATCAACTGCCTTGAGTCTCCTGCAGTGTAAGCAGAGAAGCCAGCATGACTTGGAATCTGGCTCAAGGGTCTGTAGCATTCTGTGGTGGGCACAGAGAAGGGGGGAAGTGGTTGCTGCTAGGCTAGCTTGAGCAGTATCTTGCAGCAGCAGTTACCATTTCACTAGTAGGAAAGAGGCTAAGGCCTAGCAGTGGATACAGAAAATGCCAGCATTGGGCAGGCTGAGGCTAGGGTGTTCTGATGAAAACTAGGGGGAACCTATCTTAGAAAGGTAACTGGCAAGTGGAAGTAATGCCCCTATATCTTGTTCCCAGGAATTGAGTATTGTTGCCCCATAGTGCTACAGGACAGGGTGTGTCACATGTGGTGGCAGTGTGAAGAGATGAAAATAAAACTGCTCAGACATTCACTGAGAGACAGATGGGTCAGGGCAGAGAGAGACTGAGAAGGGTGAGGGCTTTTCCTGCAGGCCTGTGTGGTAAGTGTGGTTCTGAGCAGCATCTTATGGGACCAGCTGGAGAGCACTGGGCAGTCCTGCCTCAGATCCCAGGAAACTGGTAAAGTTGTAGGGCTTCACAGAATCTGGGAGACCAGGAAGTGCTGGTTTGAAGTTATAAGGATGTAGGCTTTCATTGAGTACAAAGGAAGCCTTATTTTAGATAGTGACATTTAATGACTGTGGCTACAGATCATGAACTTCCTCTGCCTCCACAGTGTTCAAGCAGAAGTAGGTGCGATGTTGTGGAGGGGAGCCTCAGTACATGGGGTGTATGGTTCTCAGTCTCTTTCACTATGTGACATTGCTTCAGTCAAATATATGGGCCTGTGCATTTCCTTGGGGATGGATGGACAATACAAGCACTATTTTAAGAGCAAGCTCTGCATCTGTCACTTGATAGCACTGTATTTACATGGTGATGAGCATTTATCTTTACATTAACTTTGCATAATCTGTGCATCTGAAAAGACAGAAATCAGTCTCTTGGTGTCACTGTTCCACATGCAAATTTTAGATTTTTCTTGTTTATTGCAGATGGAATCAGTCTCTGCATGCCTGTTCCTGACCTCGCACTTCACACTCTCAGGTCTGTGTAATATCTTCCTGTACATAGCTTCATCTTTGAGAGAATCATGGCTACATTCTGCAGCATAGTAGGAGGCTGGTTTCAAAGGGCAGAAGTATAACGTATTAAAAGATCTAACTGGATTTTATTTGTGATTCTAGAATCAGACAACATTTCATTGTTCAGGCAGTCTTATGGACAAAAGAGGGATGAAGACTATAGAAATAAGAGTGGAAGAATGGGTTGATTGTTCAGTTACTTTCCCTATAGAGTTAAAACAGAAGGAACTTTATTTTATCATGCCAGCCCAATTAAACTGGGCCTTTTTTGATTGGTGAATGTAAGATAATCAAAGAGGGGTGGGGTGGGGGAATTGCTGTTATTTGTGCTACTCATATGCTTTATACCAAAATTTTGTATTTAACATTTTAATGAAATATGTTTCTCTGAAGCTCATAGTGGCTACATGTTCTATACAGTTTGAGAGTCTTGTAAGTGAATAGAATTTAATGTGTGAATAGTTAGGGTTTGAAGAGAATGTAGAATTTGAGCCTGGTTAAAGAGGTGGTGCTAGGGAATGAAGTACGGAACAGTCTTCCTGTAGAGAGCCTGTGTAAACTCTCTATGTACTAGCTTCTGATTTCTGGAAAATTCAGAGGCTTAAGAGAGATGGCAAGGACCAAAATAGTAAACAAATCCAAATACAATCAGATTAGAATATCAGCAGATTAACAGTCATTTTGACACAACCTATTCTCAGGTTAAACGTTTTCACAAAAAAGATTCTTTGTTTCATATTGACTCTAAAATAGTGAATAAGTAAGACTATGGGCTTATTACTAGGGAAAACCTTATTATCCTTGACCTTGTAAAATGCCTTCTAGAACAAAATTAAATATTTTATGAGAAAAATTCAGTTGTCTTTTGTGTCACTGTGCAGTGAAACATAACCAGAAAGTAATTTGTATGCTTTGGAGGTGAATAGTCTATAATGCAATTGAAATTTCCTGAACTCATGTTATTACCAGAAACTGTCTGGTCCTCCTTCCATCTTATTTTTAGAAAAAAAAAAAAAAATTTAGCCGGTAGTTAATTATCCTGGCTTGGCTTTGGTCTATGGTTGTTCCCTAAATTATGATTTAATGTTAGGGTTAGTTGATAGCATTGTGCAGAAAATATAAGTACATCTTTGGTGGGATTTTTGAGGGAGGGTTTCCATAAAGATAAGTTTGTTCCTTCATTCATTCTTCTAATCAACAAATAGCTAGAAGAGAGGTGGGCCTTATTGTCTGCTAGAGCATCACAAACACAAGACCAATTTAGAAATTACAGGGCAGGTGTGTTCTTGCTCCATAGGGGGGCACTGCCAGCACAATATAGAGATTAAACCACAGATGTGAACTGTGCATGGAAACATGCACCTCTGAGCTGGCAGTATTCCACCTCTTAGTAGGGATGTTGTGTTTCATACTTTATAGCCTTGACCTATAACTTCAAAGGACTGATGCTTGTCACTTGGCAATGAGGCTACACACTTAAAAAGGGAAGTTATATTCTTCAAGATCTTTGTGGTGCCTGACTTAGGTATGTTAGCAGCTGGATAAGAAAGGGGAGGGGAGAATCTTTATTTATCCAAAAGGAGACAGCCCAGTATAGTTAAAACCAGTGACTCTAGTTGGACAAACTTGTCCTGACACTTCTTTTTCCCCCTGGCTGTGTGATCCTGGGCAAATCACCTTCTGTTCCTCAAGTTCTTCATTTTTAATGGAAGAACTTGCCTCTCAAGACTTAAGTTAAATGTATGTGAAATATTAGTATTATGATTGATCCTGACTACAGCATTTACCAAATAATAGCTAATAACAAAAGTAATAATTGTATAGACTTTCATACAAATGGAAGAATTCCTAAACATCCAGAAAACAGACCTGGTGTTGGACACTTTCCTCACTCTTAGACAGCATTAGCTAGTTGTAACCACATTAGCTAGATAAAACCATCTCTAAAATAGGTTTTAATAGGGCTTATAGTGCTGGTTACTTTCAGAATCTTCAAATCAGATCATCTGATTGATGGAAGACAAATGAGGCCTGAGTAATCTAATAATCTAATCTGTATTTATAAATAAGGTGATGATTTAATGCAGATTACTTAGGGAAAAGCTCACTTTTTTCTTTTACTCTGTGTAATCAAGAGCATGCTGTACAGCTGCTCCTAAGGATGAGAAAGAAAGCTGTGTGATGCTTTTGATTTTAAATAAGCAAAATAGGATACGTGTAAAACAGAATAAAACTGAATAAATGGTCATTCTGAATTATCAAGATACTTTTCAAAGGATAGTGGCAGTCTGAACTATGTTCTCAAAATCTGTTGAACTATAAATAATTCATACATGTTCTTATAATTATTTCTACTAGACTCAGGAGTGTATTAGGCTCTTCCCCCGCCCCCTATGGAAATGGCACTTTCTACTTTTTCTTGCCTGGCCTGCCTTTCCCAAACTTCAATCCTCCCTATCCTTAGATTCCCTGCAGTTATTTGACATATTCCAATACATTATTCTTAGGCTGTCATGTTATCACTTTTTTGCATTTACCTTATAACATTAAAATTGCTTGCATGTATCTGTCAGTTTTTTTCTTTTTTAAAAAATATTTTTTATTTTATTTATTTATTTTTATGTGGTGCTGAGGATCGAAGCCCGTGCCTTGCACATGCTAGGCAAGCACTCTACTGCTGAGCCACAATCTCAGCCCCCTGTCAGTTATTTTCTTACTCAGTTTTGTGTGTTCAGTGTTTAAAGGGGCTGACTTATACAAGATGCTTGATAAAGTTTTGCTGAATGAATTAATGCCTATTCACTAAATTTTTCTTATTTGTATTCATTCCAAGTAAACTATAACTCTGAGTAGAAAACCGCATGTTACTGTTCATTACCTAATACTATAGCACATAGTTAAACACTATTTGCCAGATTGCTGCATAGCCTGGTTGCTAATATACAGTATCCTGGAAATATTTTATTGGGTTCATTCAGCAGGTATAAAATCTTTACTACTACTTTATCCTTAGGTGTACTATTAAATATTTATGATATGACCCCAAGATGTTCATTAAGTTTAAATCTTATTGTGGGAAAAATTACTACAAAGGCTCTCATCAGGTACAAGTCTTCCATCAGTGATCAATATTTGATGGATTCTGTAGGCAGTAACAAACCTTAAAATGCATGTTTTGGTTGAATAAACACATTGAGTGGTTCAGTTGAACGTACCTATAATATATCTTTAGCTCTTATTAACTATGAGTCCCTGAAGTTAATTTCAGAGTTTATTCCAGGATAGGGAGTTGAAATTGTATGGGAATTCATATACCATATCAGCTTCTTGCTTAAACCAATTAGAAAAGAATGGGTTCTGGGATTAAGACTCTCGTTAAAATTACTGAAATATGAAATTTTAATTTAAGACTTTTTTGAAGACTTGAAAACTTTTGCCTGTTGGCATTTAATTTTGTTTTTATTTTTTTTCCTTTAGTTTTAATTTTGGTTGCTGTTACTACTGATATCTGAGCCAAAGTGGTGCTAACTGAGGGAATCTCTGCAACTTGTAAGTCAACAATTACATGGTAAGAATGCGTGTCTTTACCTTTTAAGCCATTTCATTTCTATAACACTATAGTTTAGAAATTTAGTTGGAAATAGGATAGCATAAAATAATGTTTTTGAATGTTTACTATTCAATTTTAACATATTTTAATATAATAACAAATTATATTTTAGAACTCTTTATCCTACTCAATAATTAGGACATTAAAAGAGAAAACATATAACTTGATATATTTATTTATTATATTATTATATATTTATTTCATGTTAATTTTTTATGGCTCTTATTTACTTCCCTATGTTCTTTGTTAGTTTGTTTTTTATTTTTTGCAGTTTAGCCAATTCTTTGTTGTCTGAATCTTGCTAATAATGAATCTGTTTAAGAAGTCAAGATTTAAAAACAAACTAGTCAATTTTACTATAATTCACTCTGAACTGAGGTTGTGGTAATTCCAACTATAGCAAAAAGGAGATATTTTAATTATTTGTGGATTTCATTGATCTATATTACTGTATTTATTGTATTTATTTATTATACCAGGAATTGAACCCAGGGTGCTTAACCACTGAGCAACATCCTAAGCCTTTTCTTATTTTTTATTTTGAGATGAGGTCTCATCAAGTTGATTAGGGCCTTGATAAATTGCTGACCCTGGCTTTGGACTTGGGATTCTTCACCCTTACCTCCCAAGTCACTGGATTACAGGTGTGCACATCCACACTCAGCTATATTGCTCCATCTTTGAGAATTGAGGAACAATGAGACATTTGAGAATAGTAGGGCAAGTCATTCCCTTCAGCTCCAACTTCTCCATATGCAGAATAACATCATTTGTCTTGCCTACATATAGAGTTTTAGAAATCAAATGAGATGCTACATGTGGAATACTTTTAATTTTTTTTCTTTTCTTTTTGAAGTGAAGGGAGCGAATAACAAGTCTTGTTTTGAGACAGTATTGAGAAAAAACATGATAGTAGAAAGGATGCCATACAAGAAGCTGAATGACTCTAATTTGGGCATGTCGTTATAGTTATTTAACATAGGAAAATTGAGTTTGATTTCTATTCTTTCTTTTTAGAGGTAATTTCTTTAAGGAATATATCTGTGTTCTCTAACTACAGTAGAATTAAGCTAGAAATAAGATTCAGATAATTGGGAAATCCCCAGGTATTTCAAAATAATCATCATATTCTGAAAACTCATAGGTCAAAGAATAAGTCATAAAGGAATAAAAAAAATAAAGATGAAAACACAGCATATCAATCTGAGAGATACACCTAAAGGACTACTCTTAGGTGAAATTTATAGTGTTAAATGCTCATATTAGAAAACAAAAGGTTTGAAGCGGTCATCTAAGCTTTTACCTTAAGAAACTAAAAACTAAAGAACAAGTTAGACCCAGAAAAAGAAGAGGAAGGAACTGACAGAGAGTAAAGTCAATGAAATGGAAAACAGCAACAAAAAATGTGGATTTAAAAACATTCAATGAAGGGCTGGTGTTATAGCTCAGTGGTAGAGCATTTTCCAGTATGAGGCACTGGATTCGATCCTCAGCACCACATGAAAATAAATAAATAAGGGGATTAGATTGTGGTTTAGTGGTAGAGTGCTCGCCTCACACATGCTAGATGCTGGGTTCGATCCTCAGCACCACATAAAAATAAATAAAATAAAGATATTGTGTTCATCTATAACTAAAAATTATATTTTAAAAAGGAGGAGTTTTTTAAAAAAAGATATGAAACCAAACTGGTTATTTGATACAGAGTAAAATTGATAAGCCTCTAATCAGACTAATAAGGAACAAAGAAACAGAAAACAGAAATTCCTATTACCAGAAAAGAAAGTGACACATCACTACAGATTCTATAGATATTAAAAGGACAATAAAGGGATATTATCTTGTAATGTATTTGATAACTAAGATAAATGGGCAGATTCCATCAAAGACACAAACTTCCCAGACTGGGGTGGTGCCTCAGTGGTAGAGCTCTTGCCTAGCATGTGTGAGGCACTGAGTTCGATTCTCAGCACCACATATAAATAAATAAAATAAAGGTCCATGTACAGCTAAAAATTATTGGGAGAAAAAAAAAGATACTTTCAAATTGCTGTCAAGAAAACATGGATAAGTCTCTATTAAGGAAGTTGAACTTGTACTTTAAAACACTCCTACAAAGAAAGCTCTAAGCTTACATGGCTTAACTGGTAAATTCTGCCCACCTCTGATACTAGTTAAGCACAAACTCTTCAAAAAATGGAAGGGAGAGAACATGACGTTATTTTAGAAGATCAGTATTACCCTGATACAAAAAAAGATGTTATTTAATAAAATATTAGTAAATTGAATACAATTAATGTTACTAAACTAAGTCTAGCTGCTCACCTAACAGCAGGGTAGTTAAGTCAAGAGACAAAGTGTTAAGGCAAGGAAGGTGAATTTATTTCGAAAGTCAGCTAAAGGAGAAGATAGAAGACTTGTCACAAAGCCCATTTGTGTAGAAGCTGATTTAGAGTGCTTTTTGCAGGTGCTTTATAGGTATCTTCCCATAGAGGGTGGGCCAGATACTTGCTATCTGATCCTTCTTGCCTAGTCATGAAATGTTTTTAAGTTCTTCAGATCTCAAAAACAGAGATCAGTTTTTCCTCAGGCTATTTCTGTCACCAATTATTTACATGTTACACATTGTGTAAGCTAGAGGCTGAGTAGTTTCCTAAAGGCCATCTTGTTCATTGCCAAATTCCCAATAATGAAAGAAAACATCCTAATGCTTAGTCTCATTAGTTATATACTACAAACTTCTGGAAATGAATGAAAACATTCTGAATGCTCAATTTCATTAATATGAAAAGGATAATCCATCCTGGGTAAGTGCCATTTATTTTATAAGTGAAAGATTGGTTCAGTATTTGAAAATTGTAGTTCAAAATATTAACAGAATGAACAACAGAATTTTAAAAAACCATATGGTCATCTTCATAAATGCACAGAAAAAGGCATATAACAATACTCACTATCAATTCATGATAAAAGCTTAGAAAGATAGGAATAGAAGGCAAACTCTCACAAACTTAGAAATAGGAGCTTTGTCAACTTGATATATCAAGAGATCTATGTAAAACTGTAGCTAATATTGTAATTATTGGTAAAAGACTAATGCTTTCACCTAACATTAGGTGCAAAGCAAGGGTGGTCACTTGTAATAGTAACGACAGTAACTATTCAATATAGTACTGTTAATATAATAAAGCAAGAGAAAGAAATGGCATTCTGTTAAGGAAAGACAAATAACAAATCAAATTCACAATTCACTTAGCAAGGAAGTCTAGGAAATGATGATTTAGACTTTAAGTCTCATATAAGGAGGCGCACAGAAGGAGTTGGGAATTGATGCTGAATGCTACAGTTACCAATCAGTCAGGGGTTCTTTTGCTTGGTTTGGATAGAAATCATGAAAAGGTAAAGTGCATCTTAGTGTTACCAGCTCTGAGTGCCAGCATCCCTTTACCCTTAGTGTAATCTTATCCTCAAGGTGTTAATAGCTGTCCCAGCCAGCTGCCTTTGCAGCCAGGGTACTATCCCCTGGCAGCTTTCAGGAGCATATCTAGTGATCAGAGCTAGCGGCTTCTAGCTGCTTTTTCTCACCTCCTCCACAGCTCTCCATTGCTCTCTAGAGTTTTAAGCAGCTCTCTGGCTGTTAGGCATTCTATAGGGCTAGTAGATCTTGTTATCAGCTTTTAATGCAAGCAGCTCATCTATTTTTTACCCCAAATAGAAATCATGCACCGTAGTAGAACCATCCCAACAAGTCTTTATTGGAAACTATATTCCAGCATAGGAGGTCTATAAACAGGACATAGGTTTCAGACTGGCCTGATGAGGAAGTTTGCTTTTTAGCCAAACAGGGATAGGTTAATACACGTGCACAGTCTCCTGTTGACTAAACTCAGGCTTTCTGCTTAGTCAGGCCAGCCTGCATAGGTGTATTATGGCTCACCTGTTCTGGCTGTTGTGGGCTGGGGAGGTGCTCCTTTTCTGCCAGAATGGGGGCAGCTGAAGGTGGGTGGAGGCATCCAAAGTGGCTACAGGTTGGAGACCTCCTTCCTGGGTGACTGACTGTAGGTTGTCTAAAGCTGCTATAGCTGAAGTCACATCTCCTGGAACCACTTCAGGACAGCTGAGCCTGCAGCCATCCTGATGACAGCTGGGTTGGACCACTGAAGAAGTAGCTGCTTGATTGACAGCCCCGTGGCTTATGTGGTAGTGGCAGGGCTGAAAGTCTGATGGGACCTCAGGAGCAGTGGCAGCATTCATTATAACCCAGTTAGATGAAGCAGCAGCCCCCAATCTCTACCTTACCAAGCCAACCATCTGTCCTTCTTCCAGGGCAGTGAGAGTCCAGAGGCTGGGCTACTGTAGCTGTCATTGGAACACACCCAGTGGGGCATGATGGTTTCCCTGGTAACCAGGAGAGCTGTGCCAGCTTCTCTGGCAATTGCATAATTGGTGGTTAGATTGTGCTTCCATGGCTAGTCATGCCTCCAAGGTAGCAGTCATTTGATGGACAAGCCCTGTTGCATTTGCAGAAGCTTTGGTGCTAAGTCCCAGTAACTCCCTCTGATGAGAATCCAGGAGTGGGGCCATTGATAACTAGTTCACCTGGGCTTGGGGGCCCCATCTCTACCCCAGTATGGCCCCATCTGTACCCAGTCTAGGGCTGCTGCCTGTTTGTGTACCAGGGTAGCATCAGCTGCAGTTGTGCATAGGACAAGGACTTGACAGTGGTCAGTCAAATACCTGGGTAGTTGTTCACTTCCACCAGCTCAGGGCTTGTCTGTCATTAACAAAAAGTCAAGTCAGAAAGGAGGTTCCTTTGGGGGGGGGTCAGTTGCACTTATTGTTGCTCTCCAGCAGACAGACCCCTTCCCACTTTTTTAAAAAGATGGACACAATATCTATATTTTGTTTATTTTTATGTGATGATGAGGATTGAACACAGTGCCTCACTTATAGGAGACAAGCTCTCTACCACTGAGCTGTAACCCCAGCCCCCTCTTGACTTTTGATATGAATCTGAAAGTCCTAAAAGCACTGCAACATTTTTATCACTGTGGTTTTAAATTGGTATTTCCTTTAAAGTTAAAAGTGGGCATCATCTGGAGGAAAAGTTTCACTTAGCATTTTCTTCTTTATGGTAATATAACTGAGAAAATTGTGTATAACCCTTCAAAGGTATGCATTGGTTTAAATTTCATTAAATAGCTTTTGGTTTTAACTTAAAGAGGATTACTAAAACAATGTTAAAATGTTCTCTTAAATTGTAAGATGGCAAACAAATTGTTAAATATATTACAGTCATCATTTAGCTTCAGATGAGTTAAAATTGTTTTGGATGCTTGCTGTCCATGCCTTAGATATTGCCATGTTTTGTATTACATTCTATTCCCCTTATAATGCCTATTGAGTTCTGCTTAGTATTTCCTAAGTATTTGTATATATTTATCATGGGTAGCAATAGAGTTGAGGGACTCTTGAATTCCAGTCCCAACTGTCTGGGATAGTTAGACAAAAAGACATCTAGTGTCTCTGGTTGGTTTTCCTGAAATTTTATTATTCAACGAAGGTTTTGTAGCTGAGTAGAATGCTTAGAAATTTAAACAAATACATGTTTTAGTAACTGTGTGACTTACTTTCTTTTTTCTTTTTTTGGTACTGGGAATTGAACCCAGAGTCATGTAATCATTGAACTACATCCCCAGTCCTTTTTTATATATTATTTAGAATAAGTTGATGAGGCTGGCTTTGAATTCATGATCCTCCTGCCTCAGCTTCCTGAGCCATTAGGATTATAGGTGTGTGCCACCACACCTGGCTGTGACTTACTTTCTTAATGACATATTATATACTTTACCCTTATTCCAAGAAGATCTTTGCTGCAGAAACAGCATAAGACTTTGATGTTTGATGGAGCTGATTTTGAATATAAGTTCTTTAATTTACTAGTTACGTTAATTTCAGTAAGCTATGTAACCTATTTGAGTCTTGTTTCTTTATCTGTTAAATGGGGGCAATAGCAGACTAAAGTTGTAGTGAGATATGATACAACATATATAAAATGTTTATGTGAAATGTTCTCCTATTTCATTATTTAACTAATTCATTACCATTAGCTTTATGATTTTGATATTTTAACTGATTTTCTATGGTTAGCCCCCTTGAATACTGCTTTTTGATGGTGATCTCACTGTTTTTCAGTGGAATTTGTTCAGAAGAACGTAAAGTTGGATGTTTGAGAAGAAGTACATAGTTTGTACACTTGAGGTATTTTATGGTTTGGTATTTGTCTTCCTCCTTATGATGGCTTAGAGAATTAGGAATATTTAGTTTAAAAAAACATTTAATGATTTCAAAACTTTATTTCATGAGTGCAGTTTTGGTTGCCAGAAATAATGCTATCATAAAGCCTTTTGTTTATAAAAAACAGAAACTCAAGGTTGGTAGCATTCACACTGGGAACTGCCAAGCGAATTACACAAATTTATACTTTTTTAACCTTATCCTGTTTCATTTTGTTCATGCATATAAAATTGCAAATTTTTGACCAGCATTAATGAACAACAGTGGTGATTTGGGGGCTGGGGTGTAGTTCAGTGGTAGAGCTTGTACTTAGCATGCCTGAGGCCCTCATTTCAATCCTACCATTGAAAGAAAAGTCATCTCCTATGATTCAGCTTTATAATTGGGGAATGGTGACAATGTTTTCTTTACCTACTTGGCAAACCATCCAATTTTGTATTTTATAATTCTTTGTTTTCCTTTGGAATTCAGATTTATTTTGGGTTTAGGGTTTTTGGCATTTTGGGTTTTCTTTTGTGATTTACATAGTCAATGTCATTTTCAAATAATTGATACCTAAAAGTTAGAGAAAAATATGTGATACATATATCATTCTTAACCAAAAGAATTAATGCTAATGACAAGACTTGAAATTTTATGGTTAACTACCTAATTAGAAACAAAAATTAGATGTTTTTGAGAATTAATTGGATTGGAAGAGGTCATAGGGCTTTATAAGTCTGAATATCTAAAAATTATTTGGGAATTTTTCAAATTCTTTGAAGTAAGTATTTTTCAGAAAGTCAGATCTCTCTAGCAAGTGTTAAAATACTTTCAATGGTTTTAGCATTAGAATATTTATTGATGTATTTTAATTATAAAAATAATGCAGCTCTAGCTAAATTTTGTGTTTGTAAAGTGCTTGTAAGTTATGTTTTTATTATGTCTTGAATAAGGAGCTAATGATTTTATTTAAAAGCATTAATCTGACAAATATTTAGTGTGCATTGTAAATAATAATAATAATGTAGTGAATCACTTATGAGCTTTTCATATACTTCAAAGTATGATTTCAGACTGATTATAATGTTGATAAGTAGCTTCTTCCTTTTCCTATGCAATTAATAAGAAAAGGGAGGTAGTTAAAATTTTTTAATTTGTAAGGCAAACATTTATTTTTTAATATGAATACCATCTAGTATTTATATTCCACTTATGACTTTTAGGGGGATTTTAGATATTCTATCTCATTGCAGCCCTTTCAGATAGCCAGATAAATTATTGCTTCTATATTTTATTTTTAAAATATTTATTTATTTATTTATTAGGTGTAGATGGACACAACACAATGCCTTTATTTTTATATGGCGCTGAGGATCGAACCCAGGTCCCGCCTGTGCTAAGGGAGTGCTCTACTGCTGAGCCACAATCCCAGCCCATCTATATTTTAAATAAGGACATGAGGATCATCAGAGTCTTAAATGGCTTACTCCAGGCAGTTATAGCTCCTGAAGAATCTTGAGGCTTCTTCCTGTATTACCATCTGCTTATTTGACCACTGGGCTAGATTTCTAGGCCTCTTACAGAGGAGCTGTTTAGGGGTCAGGCTGTTTTAAGACATATATTCTGTAAATTGGTAGAACAAATTCTTTTCAGATGAGGGAATTCTGTATACAGAGACAGAGGAAGACTTTTGTTAGGAATTTGGTTAGCATTTCTTTTTATTGTTCTTGTCATATCCTTTAATTGTGGCACCATGTATGTACTCTTGGAGATGTGCCTAATTGCTAAATCTTTCAGGTTTGTTTTTTTGTATCATAATATCTAGTATGGTGTCTGGCGAATAGTAACCTTTTTACTTGGCCTTCATGTTAGCATGGAAAAATTAAATAAATGTACATTTATCTTCTAATTTTCACTCAGGAATACCTCCAATGATTGAATTTTAAGACTTTTTATTGAGGCATAATTGATTTACATAAGCTGTGCTTATTTAAAATGTACCATTTGATAAGCTTTGAAATGTATATACATTGCCAGTCTGACTAGGAGTCTTTGCTCCTTTAAAGACAGAAATCAAGAAAAGGCAAAGAACACAGCTCTTTAGTATTGCCATCTCTGAACTCTTAGAATTACCAGCTGAGCTTTTGGGCCCTTTTGCTCAATTTGAGATAGAAATGAAGAAAAGGCAAAGCAGTACCACCCAAAAGAGGCTTTTCTGGGGCTTATGCTTTTTGAGCACAAGGAAAACAGTACATGGCATAGGGCTCTGGGACTGGCTTCCTGAGGATGTAGTCAGTGAAGCGTATATAGCCAAAAAGGATGGTCTCACAGAGGCACACAGTCTGTTGTTACACATTTTTACACTTGTTTAATTGGTTCTTTGCTGTGGGTACCAGGAGTTGTACTTGACATGGTGATCTGTTCATGTGCACTTGGCTTCCAAGAGATGATGGAGGTGCTTACTACTGTTATCCCTGGAGGCTGCAGGAAAATCCCTTTATAAGATTCATGCGCTGGATCTTAGCAGTGGTAGCAGAAGCTCTCTTAGTGGCAGCAGTTTGGCTGGAAGAGAGACTGTGGAGGGTGGGGGGGCTGCCTTGCAGAGTCAAGTGTCCAAACTGGGCTAGAGGCAGGTGCACTGGGACTTGTCCAGTTCTGGACAGACATGCTCTGTGGGGCCAGAGGGACTTGTGATCATTACCTTCCTCTGCACTCGCTGGCACAAGTTGTTGCCACAGCTGGTTACTGAGCAGGAAGATGGTCAGGACCCCATTGCAGGTCCACAGGGAGGACAAACTTTTCCAAAGTGATTGCATTGCATATGAGAGTACCATTTTCTACAAATCCTCATCAATATTTTATATGGTCATTATTTTTAAGTTTGGTTATTCTAATAGTTATACAGTGATATCTTGTGATTTTGATTTTCTCTGTGTGAGGACTATTACTGGCGTTGAGCATCTTTCATATGTTTATGTGCCACCTATGTGTCCTCTTTGGAAAAGTATCTGTTCAAAGCTTTTGCTCACTTAAAAAATAGATTTTAAAATTGAGCTTTGACAGCTCTTATGTATTTTCTGTATAAGACTTATTTCAAGATTTATGATTTTCACTTTTCATTTTATTACCGCCCCCACACACACATCCGCCTTCTTACCTCAGAAAGGAATTCTTGGGAGAGAGATGGTTAAAAAAAAAGTTAGAATTAACTCCTTGCCTTTTTCTTCCCTATTCTTTCTTTTCTATCCTTTTTTCAGGATATTTGGTCTGCATTCTCTTTTCTTCATGCTAGCTTCTCACCTGACTGTACATGAATGAATCCCTGTGAGAGTTGTCCACTCTTCAAGACACATGTGATCCGAATTAGTGAATGTTTTTGTTTCTTGAGTCTGGGGATGTGCTATTCCAGCTATGATCATTGTTGACCTAGCTTCCCTGGGCACAGTTGGGCAATTTAAGCCTAATCACAAGTACCTTAAAAGGTACTTGTCAGAAGCCAGAACACAGATTCAGATTTAATAATGACAGTGTTGAAGACAACTTATCAATATCCCACAATTAATTTATTAATTGTTGTTTACTTCTAATTTAATCATACGGCATAATTTCTATTGCTTGCAATTTGTTGACTTTTTTGTATGCGACCTAATTCATGGTCATATTTTACAACTTTTCCTTGCATTTTTAAAACCAATGTGCATTTTCACATTTTCTTACAGCACTTATAAGTAAATATAAATCCTGGTTGTCTTATGTAGTTAACATTGCAGTTAACATTCTTGTACATGAATCCTTGTGCACAGTGAGAATGTTACTCTCACAATAAGAAGTGTAATTGCTAGATCAATAATATGCAGGTGTTTGGTTTTATTAGATATGGCTCTTTGGAACTCTCTGATTCCCTGCAGTTTTTCTAAGACTTGATAGAGCCACACATACATTTTTGCTGGTCAATGAAGGGAAAAGTAGTATTTTATTGTTATCTTCTGTCCTGATTTATGAAGGAGATGGGGCATCATCTTATTTCTTGGTTGGGTGTCATGTTTGTTTCTTGGGTGGGACTTGCCTCATTCTTCTGTTATGTTCTACAACCATGCTTGCTGATGGTCACAGTTTTCCTGTCTTATTTTTGGCTGGTGGTTTCATCCTTTGATCTTTTGGAAATTATTATTCATATTCCTGCAGCATTGTATAGATATTTGAAATATAGATTTTCTTCATCACTTCTATGGATTTGAAACCAAAGGGGAAACCTAGACTAAGTATTCTGTTTATTGTTCTTAACTACACTTGTTTGTTTTTTTTAGTCCGCCAGTTCAGATTATGTAATTTATGAAATAAGTTCCTGTAAGTGAAATATTACCATTCATAGATATATGCTGTTATACCTACCATACAAACCCTAATCATAAATGTCCCATTTTAGTTGAGAAATATGCCTAGCATGTGTTAGGTCCCCAAAGAACAGTAGAGTTAGGCATGGTGGTGCATGCTTGTAATTCCAGTGACTCAGGAGGCTGAGGCAGGAGTATTGCAAATTCAAGGCTAGCCTTAGCAACTTAGCAAGACCCTGTCTGAAAATAAAAGCTACTGGCGATGTATCTCAGTGGTAAAACATGCCTGGGTTCACTTCCCAGTATAAAATAAAATAAGAGTAGACAAGATACAGTCCCAAATTGAGGAAAAAGAGATAATCCTTCCTTGTCCTGGAATTTGCATTTTTTTAAGTCTTACCCAATACAACAGTGTTTTTCTGTGTCTTCTTAGAGGCTAAGTATCTCTCCTAGTCTTATACATACAACTTCTTGTCCAAATGTCAAATGGAATTTGAGTTACCAAGAACCACACTGAATCCTGGTCTGAGAGGTCTAGGTAGACTGCTTCTCTGGCCTGGGAAGTTTTAAGAGAATACACAAATATCTGGGTCTGTACAGTGGTTAACCCAGGACCAATCATGTTATAAAAAGCCATGAATATTGTAAGTGCAAACTAGAATAAGATGGGGGTCTAAAACTTATGCATAAAATCAGCAGCAAAGTAGTATGAGGAGTTCAGGGATCCGACAAAATCATCAGTTTAATAAAATGTCTGATAAAAATGGAAACTTGGAAATGTAGACCAACTCTTACTTTTTACAGTCACAGAGGAAATGGTAAGGTACTTAGAGTTAAAAATTGGGAGGGACGTTTAGACATAGAGGGAAGAAGAATGAATAGAAGCATTAATTAGAAATTAATGATTACTTGTATATTGGGACAGTTTTATTTACCTTGGCTGCCCTTATATCCTGGTAAGATAGCCTCTGCTTATTGGCATATTTACAAATTGAGTTCAGAGGTAACATTTACAAATGGGTCATGGTAGCAGAGCGCCAGTGGAAGTTGAAGACTGGGGTTATGATCTGGAAGATTTTGAGTCTCATGGTTTCAGTCTTTGTAAGATAAAGAAATTGGTCTAGATATCTAGGGTTCCATTTATCTTTAAAAGTATTTTATTAAATAGCTGGCTTTCTCTGGGTAGTCAAAACACAATAGGAAAATAGTTCCTGGTAATACCATCTTACACTGTACTGTAACTTATTTGTCTTTGTCTCTCACTAAACCATTAACTCCTCGAGGAGAGGAATTTCATTTTACTGTTTTCATCTGTTCGTGCTTTTTATTTCTACCAGCTTGAGCAGTGTTTGAAGAGTAAGCGAATCCACTATGGTAGTTTCTGAAATTCAGTTGAATAAATGACTGAAAGAGGGGTGGGGGGAAACATAACAAAACTTGAGGGAACCCAGGAGAGCAAATCTGTTTTTAGAAGGGAAAACAAGCCCACTCTAATTAAGAAGCTTGCACAATGGCATGCAGTATTAGGGCAGAACTAGAATTAGATGCTAAATCCCCCAGTTCTTTATCCAGTGTTGTTTAATGGATCTTTCTGTCTCTAATCCCACGGAAACATACAAATCACATTCCAAATTGCAAGAGTAACATTTATGTCCATGAAATTATTCTGATTAAATTTCTGTGATAAGTCTTCTCCCCTTTCTCCCAAAGGATAATAATGTGGCTCTACAAGATAAATGAACAGGTTGGGAGTTCAGGAAGCCCAGGCCCTTGTTTTGGCAGTGGGAATGTAATGTAATTAGTGACTGTCTTCTGGGAAATGTCAGAAGGCACTTGATTTCTTGCAGGGTAGCATAAACTGAGGTAGGCTGAGGCAGTTGTTGCCCTTGAAAATAAAAAGGGCACAGTAAAATGGAAAGGCAGAGGAACTGTTCAGCCAGGATCATGTTATTCTACATGGGCATTTGCACAGGACTTCTTCTGCCTGGATGACTTTTATTCTGAGGTGAGCACAAGTAAATCTGATTAAAAAGTCAAACATCTGTTGTGTGTGCACATTTAGTTCTCTATGTGTAATGTAGTCTGTATTGCCTGATTTAGCTCTCCCATGTGCTATATACTCTTAAATGCCTGGCACACAGCAATCAGAGCAAAGGTTACTGGCACATTGGGAATAGAAAAGACAGAATCATTAATAATCATTCTGCTAACTGCGGATTGTAAAAATTTGCAGGGCAGGCTTTGTGACTGTGCAGTGGAGAAAAAATATGCATCACAAATCTATTCAGTTGATCTTGTACACTCGTCCATTTCTAGCTATTAGTAAAACAATTTTGAAACATGTCACAGTAATTTAATGAAGTTGATAGGTTACAGTCCCATCAACCCTTTCTGCAATGGCAGAGGATCACAGTCATGGGTTTCAATTTAGTTTATTCAGCCCATTGCAGTACAGTTTATGTGTGAAAGCTCTTATCTGTGCAAATCTAGCAATTGTATTTTTTTAACAGTTTGCTCAATTTGGGGTCTGCACACATGAAAACTGAATATACTCAGTGTTCACATATCAAGAATGCCAGTTTGCTGTTTTTTTCTTCTTTGTGAATATAATTTGCACTTTAAAGTCTTAAAAGAAAAGGCTGGTATGTTAATTTTGTTCTTATTGTGATGGCAGAGTGTTTCTCTTACAATTAGGATGTAAAAATGTTGGGAGAGAACATTGCTTTTATTGAAAGAAAACAGAAAAACCAGATGATCCTCAAAGTAATAATTTTTCTTAAATCTCCAGAAATGACAACCCTTCCTGAGGAGATATAAGACATTTGGGTATTTCACTGGATAGCAGAGCACAAGAGAAACATGTGACTACCATAGAAATGAGTAAGATGGTATCAGTTGAAATTTTAGTGAAATAATGAATTCTTACAGATTGAATGTTGGCTTATACTCAGTTTAGAGTAAGTGGGAACTTCAGATACAAGGGCAACTTGCACCTACAAGATCTTTTCTACAGGACTCCATTGGGCAGGATATTTATAGGAAAAATTAGGGGCAAACTTGGACAGAATGGCCATGATGGTTAGACATGATGTAAAGTCTGCTTCATCAGAGGCTTATCTTCTGTGACATAAAAGTTACTCGGAGGACACAAACCTTGTAGCCCATAGGACCCAGCAACAGTCTACTGTTTTGAGATAAAACAAATAATAAGAAGCAGACTCAGAAATGCCTTAGATATGGGAACTATCAGACGTGAACTTTAAAATCACTATGATTAGTAGTTAAAGAATGTAGTGGGAAAAGTGAACAATATCCATGAACTTATGGAAAATATCAACAGAGAGATGAAAACCAAAAATTCTTTTTAAAATTTGGATGAAGCCTGGCATGGTGGTGTGCGCCTGTAATCCCAGTGATTTGGGAGGCTGAGGCAGGAGGATTGCAAGTTTGAGGCAAGTCTCAGCAATTTAGTGAGGCCCTAGGCAACTTAGTTGCCTACAAAAAGGGTTGGGGAGGTAGCTCAGTGGTAAAGTACCTGTGGGTCCAGTCACCATTCCCTTCCCCTCCAGAAATGTTAAATGGAAACTACTGCATTGGATTTATCAACAAACTTAGATTTAGCTGAAGGAAGAATCAACTTACTAAAGCTAAATCAACAGAACATAAAAAGAAATAAAGCATTAAAAGAAGTGAGAGAAAAGTTAAAAAAATAAGGGAGAAAAAAGAGGGAAGACAGAATAGAGCCTCTTAGAGCTGTGGAGCTGTATCAGTACTCTAATATGGATATAATTTGAAACCTAGAAGTAAAAGAGAATTGTCCAGAAGAATTACCTGAAGGGACAGTTGCTGCAAATTATCCAAAAATTAATAAAATACAGTAAGCAACTAATAAAAAACAAATAGATCCATGTATGTCAGAGAATCTGAGTGGGGTTAACAACAACAAATATGAACCTCCCTAATTCTAGAAACACCAGAGTCAAGCTGCAGAAATACTAGAGATATAGGAGTCTTTATGGCAGGTGCTAGCTGTAATTTATGCCAACAACATTACAGAGGAACAGATATAAGAAAAGAGCAGACTTCTCGTCGGAGATTATGAAGTCATGTAACAGCGGAACAACATCTTTACCAAAAGACTAAGGGGTGGGGGAGCACGTTAAACTCAATACAAAGTTTCATACCCATCAAAGTATCCTTCAAAAATAGCGCAAAATAAAGAACTTTGCAGGCAATAAATAACTCAGGGAATTTACTGTCAGGAAATCTACACTCTAAGAAATGTTAAAGGATGCTTAGGCAAAGGATTGTGAAATGGCAGTTTGGATCCACACAAAGAAATGAAGGAACTATGAAATGGTGAAACTTAAGTTAAATGCAAGCCATATTGATGCAAACCAGGTACCCCTCACCATAATTGTAACATACAAGCTTCTCCAGGAACCCCCACCATAATTAAGCTTCTTGTCAGCAAGATCTTACTAAGGGTATCAGTGGGATTTCACAGGAGTTCTGTGGAGAGCTCAATGTGGTTTGAAGCTTCCTCTTTCTTATAAATGCCAGGTTTGCAGACAAAAGATATGTAGATTCTGTCTCAAAGAGAGCTTATTATAAAAAAAAAATACTCTCTCTTTTTTTTTGAATATTTTTGTAGTTGTAGGTGGACAGAATGCCTTTATTTTATTGGATTTATTTTTATATGGTGCTGAGGATCAAACCCAGTGCCTTATGCATGCCAGGCAAGTGCTCTGCTGCTAAGCTACAGCCCCAGCCCCCTATCTCTGTTTTCCTTGGCAAAAAATGTGTGAAACCTCTGTCTGACCTGAAATATAGGACCAAGAGTAACTGTAATATACCCACCCACTGTCATGTAACCACTCTATAGAGTATAAATCTAAAAGAATTTCCAGACCTGGGGTGCAGAGAATTTTAGGCCTTAGCCCTTCTGGACTGCTACAGTGTAATTAAACTTGCTTCCTGAATATTCCTCTGGTATCCAGCCTCATCTGTCCTACATCAATAATTTCACTTATTTTTAATTAATTCAAATGGTAATTAATTGTTCAAAAACAGTAACTATTTATTATGGGTTTATAATATAAGAAGTAAAATATATGGCAACATAATACCAAACATGGAGGGAGAAAATAGAAATATAATGTGTGTATTAGTAAGAATTCTCCAGAACAAAAGAACCAATAGGACACATAGTTATTTATAATGAAAATTGTCTCATATGATTTATGCAAGCCAAGGAGTCCCATAACTAACCTGAGGTTAGAAGGGGGTTGTTGGTGTAAGCCTTGTAGTTTGAAGGTCTGGGGGCCAGGAGCTTCAGTGTCTGAGGGCAGGAGAAGATGGCTGTCTCATGTCAAAAAGAGAGAATTTGTCCTTCTTTCACCTTTTTGTTCTATTTGAGCTCTCAGAGAATTGGACGATGACCACTCAACCCCCCACAATGCCAGGAGATGGGTGAGTGCCCAGGAGAGTAATAATAATAATAATAATAATAATAATAATATTTTTCTATTTAAGGTTTGAACACTTGAGAACTCTTGAGTAGGAAGGAAGGCAGATTTGTTCTTTGTTGCTTCACAGAGAATAGCAAAGGATCAGTAGAAGATATTTTGCTCAATATCAATTATTCTTCCCACAGATTTTTATTGAGCCAACCATATGTAAATTAACAGCTAAGTGTGAGATGAGTTTCCTGGAAAAACAGTGGGCTGTGTCTGAGTAATGTTCCAGCACAGACACATGATTGTCAAGGAAACCATAGAGAGGATTCCTGCCCAGGCAGGAAAATGGACAGGATGGTTTTTAAAGACTGTTACACCTCTTAAGAGTCTGGGGTCACTGAACCATGAAGAATTTCAAGGACAATGCAGAGGGGCAGAAGTGAGTGTCCCTTAAATACATTAAACACATTGTTTCCATTTCAAAGAGAGGCAAAGGGGCAGGGTCACTCCTACCCCTTCACTGCCACAATTTATTTTTATTTTTTTCCCAGTTTTTGGGAGTAGTCACGTTTTTAAAATTATAATTATTGGCAAAATATTGTACAAATTGAAGGATTCACTGCAATATTTCCATGCCTATATACATGGTGCATTATTTATGTCCAGCCGCCCTTCTTCCATTCAAGCCCCCCTCCCTTACCCCTTCCTTTTAGCACCCTTCCCAGTACCTAAAAGTCCCTCTTAATTCCTCAGTGTTCCCACTCCCTGTTGTCCTTCCCCATCTCTAGTGACCACTATTCTGTTCTGTACTTCTACAAGTCTGAATTTTTGGTCTCCTTAAATGAATGAGAACATGTGGTATTTATCTTTTCAGTGTCTGGGTTATTTCACTCCAAAATAATGTTATCTAGATGCATCCATTTTACTACAAATAACAGGATTTTCATTTTGTGTGTGTGTGTGTGTGTGTGTGTGTCTGACTAGTAATCCAATATGTAAATATACCATATTTTCTTTATCCATTCATCTGCTAAGGGCATCTGGGTTGATCCCATATTTTGGCTATTGTGAATGGTGCTGCAACAAACATGGGGGTGAAAGTATCTTTGGTACCAAGATTTCAACTCCTCTGGGTATATACCCAGTCGTGGCATTGCTGGGTCCTATGGTAATTTTATTTTTAGTTTTTTGAAGCATCTCTTATTGTGTTCCACAATGACTGTATTAATTTACATTCCCACAAGCACACTGCCACATTTTTTTGTCCCAAGGAATAAAGATTAAGCCACTAACAATGGCTATGGAAATACTGGAATCATAAATCATAACAGGTAAATCTCAGAAGACATTTTCTTTGAGGACATTGAAATACTCTACACACAGATAATACATATGTAGAAGATGCTGTGCAATGATGCTGGTACCATTGTTTGTGGGGCAGTCTTGCCCTACAGACTCCCAAATCCTTGAAAACAAGGATTCTGTTTTCTTTATCTTTAATTCTGCATGCTTAACATAGTTGCTGGCCCACAGTTTATGCTCTGAACATTTTTGATGAATTATCTAAACGATTTCAGATTTCTATTCTTCCAGAAAATTGGTACCAAGAATTTTCAATGGACAAGCCACTGACCGCGCTTGTTCTTATAAGGAATTAAAGTAAATAAAAACAAGCTCATCAAGAGGCACACATGGAGATGAGATTAAAAAAATATATACATCTAAGATAATTAAGTAGTAACATTAAAGCTATTGATCAGGTGACAAAATGAGAAAAAGAAATACTGTTGAATTCCAGAAGAAAGAGAGTGGTGTGGAGAGGTAGGGAAATTCTGATCTACTTATAAGAAAATAACAATTTTTTTTGATTCATTTTTTAGATTCATTTCTCAAAGGAACATTCGCTCCAAGCCGGGTGCTATGGCGCAAGCCTATAATCCCAGTGGTTTGGGAGGCAGGAGGACCATGAGTTCAAAGCTAGCCTCAGCAATTTAGTGAGGCCCTAAGCAACTCAGTGAGACCCTATCTCTAAATAAATACAATAGGGGCTGGGGATGTGGCTCAGTGGTTAGGTGCCCCTGGGTTCAATCCCTGGTTCCAAAAAAAAGAACATTTGTTAACTCTAGCTCTGAACTAAGTAAGTTTGTTTTCTTCAATCCTTCATGCAACAAGATACAAATATAGACATATTTTAATTCTTTTTCTTCATCATTTGCCATATATTTTGAGGATTAAAAAATGGCATTTTCAAAGCTTTGAGTAGGGAGCAAGTGTTATTTTTGGAAGTCAGATTGAATACATAAAGAAAGGCACAAAATAGTCTGTGATAACTACAGAATCATGAAAGGGAGGGAAATAATGGAATAAGTCATAAAAGTATGTGTCAGGAAGGGGCAAAATTGTGATGTATGCAGACAAGGGGAGAAATAAAAAATGTCCATGCATTTCTGCCCCTTTCAATACTTTATTCACACAAATTACTCAATACAGTTTCACTCTATAGGTTCTTTTTTTTTTTTTTTTTTTAAGAGAGAGAGAAAGAGAATTTTTTAATATTTATTTTTTAGTTTTCGGCAGACATAACATCTTTGTTTTTTGTATGTGGTGCTGAGGATCGAACCCCGGGCCGCACGCATGCCAGACGAGCGCGTTACCACTTGAGCCACATCCCCAGCCCACTCTATAGGTTCTTAATCAAGAAAACGACAATCCTTAATGCTAGGCTCTGCAATAGACATAATCAATTCACAGCAAAGGATTCTAGATTGATTGATTCACAGCACACAATTCTAGATTAATTCTAAGCACCACAAAACACACTTAATCATGATAGGCTAATGACAGACATTCCCTCTGCATGCTAAGTTCAAAAGTCTTAAGCCTTAGGCTTTATGTCCAGCAGATGCACACTCACTCAGACCGCAGTGACCAGGTCCGGAACCCAGGAAGGTTTTTCCTGGTGTGGAGTGGACGACTAGTTGAGGACTGGGGAGAAGGGAGAAGTTGCAGCTCTCACCAAGGTCCAGACGAGGTGGTAGAGTTTGAGAGCAGTGAGGATAACACAGAGGATCAGGAAACAATGACGAGTGATGGGATGTCCAGTCCTCATCAGGCTCTCCAGCTCGAGTGCATCCTTGTTTCGGCTGGCTGAATCCCTGTTCATTTGCTCTATCATTTATACTAAATTTTGGGGCTCTTGATCCCCCTTTCAATCCTTATCAGCTACCACCGGATTTCTCAGTGACATAATTTACCCTGGGGTCAGAAATATCTGGTCTGGTGGTCTCCACCCTGATCTTCTCACCTTTCCCTTTTATCAGGCGAGGACAGCCTGCCAGGGGCTTCACTCTGTTTATCAGGGTGAGGGGAAGGAACTTGTTTGTGACCATAATGGAGGGCTCTGTGGGTGTGCCTAGTGAGACTGCAGGTTTCAAACTGGAGTTTTTAAAATGGAGTTGCTTAAGCTTAGGACTAAGGCCATCCTAACAGTGTGTGTGTGTGTGTGTGTGTGTGTGTGAGAGAGAGAGAGAATCTGACAGTGTTTTTATAGAATTAGAATTTTAGGAGGTCATCTGGTTCATCTGGTCATCTTGTTTTATAGACAAGGAAAGTGAAAATCTGGAGAAGACATAGGGCTCATTCAGAATCATGGCAGCATCAAGGCTAGACTCCAAGTCCCCACGTTGTCTTCAGGGATTTCTTCTCTTTATGTTCAGAGCTGCCACAGCTGGACAGAGAAAAGAGCTTCAGTTGTTTGGAAAGATGAACATTTACTTCCACAGTCTCCATTCCCCTGGGAAGTAGATGAAGGGAAGACTGATGAAGAGCCTTAGAATCAAAAAGTGTTGTATTCGTTTTTCTCCAGTGTTGGGACTTTACGAATCCTATGTCCAGTTGAAGGTGAAAATTGACCTGTTCAGTCTCCCAAATTATCCCCAAGATCATACTTGCTCTCTGTCTTCTCCATCACTGCTTTGGCTGAGGCCCTCATCATTTCTCACCTATGCACCCCAAATGGCTAACAGCTCCTCGGAATCATGCTCCGTGCTATTGCCAGAGAGATGTTTCCAAAACACGAATCTGATCTTGTCAGCTCAGATTTAGCACAATCACATAGCCCTCAAGATTTTAACTTGGACTATATGATGCGTATGACACTATATGACAATCTAACCCTCCTTTCTGACCCTCTGCCAGTGATATCTGATTCCTGTGATTGCAGTTTCTAGAAAATCCACATTTTATTCTCTGTGCAGTCTCATCCATCTTACCTTGGCTCTGTGCCCATCCTGCTCATCCTTCAAGAACAGGCTGCTTTTCTCAGGTGTGAGGGTTAACACAACTCTCCCAGTAGGGTCAGCCAGAATCTCAAAGTGTGCTCCATGCTCTCTTTAGATATGTCTGTTAGTGTGTGGATCACATGCTCTGTAATGGTCTGCTTCCATGGTCTCCTCTCCTGGAGAGCAAATTCTCCTTTAGAGCACAGACTGTATCTGGTGGAATTGACTCAACAAACGTTTGCAGAAAGAGAGGAAGGAAGGAAGGAAGGAAGGGAAGGAAGAAGTCAAACTGCATCAGTAGAGAAGAGACTAACACTTTTTTGTTTACTTTTCAAAGATTTTTTTTCATGTGTGTGTGTGTGTGTGAAAATAAATGTTCCCCTAGCCAGGTATGGTGACACCAGCCTGTAGTTCCAGCTACTTGGGAGACTGAAGTGGGAGGACCACTTGGGCCTAGAAGTTCAAGGCCAGCCTGGGCAACTTGACAAGATCCTATATCTTAAAAAAACAAAACAACTTGATGATCTTACCTTCCCCAGTCCTACTCCTCAGAAGTAATTTTTTTTATAGTTCCTTTCTTCCAAATCCTTCATTACACCTGTATAAAAAAGTATGCAAACATCTTTTAAAAAATAAATATAGAATCATATTATATGCGTTCTTTTACTGGTTTTGCTCAATATGTTACGAGCATACATAAAGATCAACCACTTTTTTTTGAGATCCAATCATAGCCATTTAATTTTTTTTCAGGTTTCTTTTATTTTTTAAAATTCTCAATCCTAGGTATATATAGATATAAAAGGCAAGATATGAATTCAGAATTTCTATAGTAATATTCACCCCTATTCCTTAGGGGTGATTCCTTTCCCTGACATTGAGTAGCTATTGATTACTAACTGGTTATAGATTAAATAAACAATATCAAATAAACTTATCATATTCCTTGAGTCTTACTTTTCCTTAAGCCTATGCCATATCATTTTGATTAATGTTTACTTTAAGATAGCTATAAAGTGATTCTTCTATTTTTATTTTTAAAAAGTCTTTTGTATTTGTTTTTTAATTTTAATGACAGTAGGATTTTTTTCGACATATCATACGTACATGGAGTGTAACTTCCCATTCTTGTGGTTGAACATGATGTGGAGTTTCACTGGTCATGTGTTCATATATGAACAGAGGAAAGTTAAATCTGATTCATTCTACTGTCTTTCCTATTCCCATCCACTGCCCTTCCATTCATTTCCCTTTGTCTATTCTTCCCTTCCCTTCCTCCTTATTGTGTGTTAGCATCACTTATCAGTGAGAACATTCTGCTTTGGTTTTTGGGGGCTGGCTTATTTGATCTACCTCATTTTAAAAAAATGATTGCATCACATCCCATAAAATATATGTGTGCCATATTTTAAATTTCCCATCATTTAGAGATAAGTAAGTTCTAATTTTTAAATATTTATGCTGCAATAAGTATCCTGATTTGTCTTTAGTCTTTGAATAGTTTCAACATGGTGACACCACCATGTTGATTACTGTGTCTGCAAGAGCTTACCAGTGTGGAGTGAGTGATGTGCAGAAGCCGGGATGACGTTTGCTTTGGTCCCTGTTCTGCCCCTATTTCTTGTGTATTTTATTCCCTTAGCTCTTGATAGAGTTAGAGACTGTAAAGGGACTTCCAAGGGACACAAAGTGGAGATTCCACAATGTTTTGCTAATGTATAAGTGTCCCAGGAAACTTCGAAGGCTCACCATCCAGTTATATGAATCACTACTCTAATTAGATTCCATGGTATTATACAAATCTTTCTATCTGTTTCTTTCTGTGACATTTTTATTGGTGCTTTATAGTTTTACATAATGATGGGATCTGTTGCACATATTTATACATGCACACAATATAACTCTATAATTTGGCCAATATCACTCCCCTAGCACTTTCCTCATCCTGCCCCCATCTCCAAGTCTCTCCATCTTGCAGTCAGTTAATTAGTCATAGAACTGTGCTCTGCATGAAGAAGGTACAAAATGGATGAATAAGATCCAGAGAAAAAGTTTCTACCAAACTTCCTCCTTTCTTTTTCTGTAGGCATTAATGTAACCCAGTAGCCCACTAGTGTATGCATATTGTAGGGGGGAATATTGTATTTGTGGCAATAGAATGGGGTTTCTTTTGCAGTTAACTAGGGGAAATGGTGTTTGCTGGGGGTCTTAAACTGCTAACCTCGTGCTTTACTCCTCCTCCTTCCCTGGCTCCTGCCTCTCCCTCTGCCCTCCAAACCCTATCAGACCACTAGAAGGGAGGCAAGAGAAAAAGCAGAGAGTCCAGTCCGCCCTTGCTTTTG